ATTTACACTGGTGCAAGCGAAAGGAGAATGATCCCATAGTGTGTATGGAAAGAAAGCTAATATGTTTGTCTTGTGAAGAGTCTTTGTCCACTGAATTCTTGGATGTTGTTCTCTAATTCGTTTCATATGTGTGAGTCACATACATGGAAATGATAAGACTGGGGATATACTCAAGAAGACTCGTTTTGTCACGTACTACTTGTACTGACAAATAATAGGGGGTATGGGATTTGAAAATATCATAGTGCTTCAGTGACCCGTAGAAGATGATGAACGCAATATATTCCTGTACATTCATTGATTAAATATGGGTTGGAGGTTTGCGAAGTGCAGAGTTTTGGAAGGTCTTACTGCGGGACTTCACCATCAGTACAAATGGCTCCAGTAACCAGAGGCACTCAAGGACGAGGATTCCATTTGCGCTTGCATTTGTGCATTGAGCGGAAGGGTGTGATGCATGATCTGGAATGAACAAAATAGCTGTGTGTGGAGGAAGATGCCAAATTAATGAAAATTCAGAAAGCTTTCATTTTGAAAATTGGCACAAAGTTTTCGAGAGAAACAACCACAGCCAATAGTTTCAAGATTACTGCTATCTTGAATTTTCTGTTTATTGCATACTGCAATGAAACCTCTTTTTAACTGAACACCAGTGACAAATTAATACTCCCTTTTGGGAAAAATAAGCACATCTTGTTCCATTTAGCACCATTGTGGGCCTGATCTTGATCCAAATGAACTCTCACATACTCTGACTTGCTTTAATAAGGTGAGCAGGCTATGGCCTAATATGTTTGGCCTTTTCTACATAATTGTAAGAATCTCAGTACAATAAATTAAAGTAATATATCAGTGTAGATTACCACCTGCTCTACAATCACTTTATTTTCCTTTTATATAGCACTGAGCTTTTACATTTATTCTGTAGTCAAAACTGTCATAAAATGAAAGTATAATAGACCTGACTATCCTTACAGTTAGATTCACATCAATCAGCAGAGGATCAGACCTCATTTGTGACTCCAAGAAAGAAATGAAGGGCTGGACTGTGATTCAGACTACATATCTACGCAAACCAGAGTAAAATCACCCTTAGACCCCACAGCGTTTACCCAGACCTCGGGGCCAGCTAGGGCTGGGCTACTCTTTCCTCAGAGCAGATCAGCAAGAAGAAGCCAAGAAAGGGGGAAAACTTGATGCCATCTGATTGACTGGCCCATGCAGCTAACTAGTTCGAAGGACACGTCACTTTGCTACTCTCGTGTAGCAGGGTGAAATCAGGCAAGAGTTGTGACTCTGGAATGCCTTTGTGCCAACGTCACAGGGAACAGTGCAGCTTACGTGTTACTTTTTGTCCAGGGCTATTGAAATCTAGTCCTTCTGTTTTTAAAAACCACCATGTTATCAGGTATACAATGTAAGATCTCTAAAACAAGCCAGGATTTTTAAACTTGCATGCCAAACCTTGGACATCTAAATTCTATTTAGTCACCCAGCCAACCTAGGTCCTGCCACACTAATATTTATCTCCACAAAACCCCCACGAGGGAGCAAAGTACTGTTTAACAAAGTGGCCTGATTTTAGAGGTGCTGGCATCATGCAACTCCAGATTAAATCAGAAAAGCTTCTCGCATGAGTAAGAGCTGTAGCATCTAGCCCCACGTTTTTTCTGGATGATTCAGCTGGAGGCCTCTGTGGTTTTACTTTCAGTTCCTGAATGCAGCGTCAAGAGAAAGACCAGCAATTAAAAGAAAAAAAACTTAGTGAAAAAATAGAAGAGAAATGTATCAAATGGATGGACTAAAACATACACAGGATCTATCAGGCATATTAACCAAACATATCATGGTGCTAAATGAGAGGGTTTTTTTAATTAAAAAAACCCAGAAAAAACAACTGACATTCCTGGCAGTCTCAAGGATGATGTGACATGGCTGTGATAAATTTAGAAGAATGGGACATATTTTGGCTTGTTCTTGGAAACCTCTTTCTTGCATGTGGACTGTATTTCTTCTTTTATTAACCCAAGCAAAGAATGTCTGAATTTTGCTGTAAGAGCACCATGCTGGCGCACCATAAAATGTGAATGATGCTAATTGCTTTGCACTGCCTAACTTTTGCCATTCCCCTCCCCTCTTAAAGGACAAAACATGCTTTGAAAATGAGTTGGCAGCTCATCTCCTGTGCTGCTTGTGGTCAATATTAAGTAATTAAAATCTTCTTTGAATGTTCTTCTGAACTAGGAAGCAGCCATTTTTTTCTTGCGATCAAGTAGGTGTAATCACTTGTAATAAATAAATAATTCAGGGGGGAAAATGTAATGAGTTAAAAAATTAGAAACTATATTGTTTCAAAAACAGCATCCAATGGCAAGAATAAAAACAACAACTCCTACGTAAACATTTCTCTGCCTACCTATTGGTTCTTTCATGGCTAAGTGTACATTAGAAATTCCAGTTACACGTTATAATAGCAATGTTGACCTTATAAAAAGGACCCCCCGCCCCCGCGGTGATGACACCACTCAGCACTATCATTGTGCAAGATCATTTGGCATTTTCATTACCAGTTGAAAACTCCATTGCTCAAATTGGCATTTGGTTGAAAGTGGATATATATAGCTCAAAAGAGATTTTCTGTACATAGAAAAATTGGTGACATCAACTAAATCAATTTTAGTGCAAGAAAAGAAGAATATTTTATTGGCTGGCTTAAAGGCTTTGTCATACCACTCAAGAAGCAATAGAGACTGTATGGAAGAGTGGCACACGTTCTCCCCATACAAGGGAGCTTATGATCACAAAGAAAGTAGTCGCTGTGTATGCCTTAGTATAAATACTGTGATAGACACTAGCCTTTGCGTGTCTGTGTTGGGGGGGTGCTCCTCCTCATGCATGGCTGTGCCAGCACTGGGAAGGACACTTGTTCCTTAAAGTTTGACCATCTCCTTTAATTATACAGTTGGTCCAGTAAAAGCTATCACACACAAAATAACACATTTACTACAGCACTGAGGGCAGTATGGCCCATTGTATATTCAGTGCACACCCATATTTAGATAGTGTGTACCTGTCCTACACAAGGATACAACAGAAACACTTGACATTGTCTCTTGTAATGGGCATTGTCTTTATTGAGGAAGAATGTCTACTGACTGTAAGAAAACACTTATAATTCTTAGTGTTGATAACATATGTCCACATAACAACTGTTAAAATTTTGGGCAGAGCTAAATAAATTCCATCCTATTTGTGACATCGAAGTGCACGTTCTCCTGGGCAGCTAACCATAGGATGAGGTGCATTAGCAGAGTTTGCATTAAAAAGATTGCAAATATTTCATTCAAACACATCAGACTTCATTCTACCTCTCTCTCTCTCTCCTTTGCCTCAACTGAACCCGCACTATTTTCATCAGTAGAAAAAACCACCAGGAGGCAATTCCTGATCCTGTAACTTTGTTGCAATAGCCTATCAATGCTGAACTTTTATTTTTTTAAATTTCTAAAAAAATTTTATTTTTAGTTTCTAATGTTTTCTTGCCACAAAGAGAAAATGCCTTCCCTTGCCACAACGTGAAATCTTAAAAGACAGTCATAGCTGGAAAATTAGGATTTTACCTATTGCCCAACTTTATTTAACTTATTGAGATGTGAACAGCAATACTTAATTGGAAACATTTAGACCCCGATTGTGCAATGTGCAAACAGACAGCTGAGGGTTGTAAATTGATGTCTCGGGGACTATAAAGCTGATGCTATTAAGCACACACATTTTTTCTATTTACTTTAAAAAATAAATTAATTAAATTCAGACTCTAAGTCAGTACAATCTTACAGTCTTAAACTAATTAAAAAATGAAGGAATGTAAAAGTTAAAGTTCCAATGGCAACTTATCTTGATCTTATGGGATATACATAAAACATTCTCTTCCATTTTCCATAAATTTATGGTATTAAATATAAAGGATCGGAAAAGAGTCCAAAGTGACTTGCTATTGGAAGTTCTATTTATAAGCATTTCTGCATTTTTATTGTTTCAAGTTATCTCATCAATTTTGCTTTATAGTTTCTGCATATCTGTCCATAGATAGATATGCTGAAAATTAAGTATATATATGCATGATAAATAATCAGAATGTGTGCATATCAATTTTGTAGAGATACAGATATTGTTATATACATAATATGAACAATCTGTGTATATACTGCACATTCTCTATTCTAGCATAGACAGCATGTAAAGGATTGCAAAACATCCATCCTACCAATTTTTCTAAATTCATGTCAGAACTGAGTGGAACACAGGGTTGATCCATTCTCTTCATATCATGTCAACAGAAGAAGTTCAGCTAGAAAAATATCTCAAAGTAATCATATTAACGCTGCAGTTGTCATTCTGTTTTCCATTGCAAGTTTTTGATAGATTCCCTGGGTAGAATAACTGCCCTAAAAGGTTGTATATGTGGCTTTTAATATAAAGACATCTACGTTCACATTTCTTAAAAAGCAAAAGGTAACCCCATGAATAAATTATTTTTAAAAACTCTGCCAGTTTAGTCTGAACTATCAGAGTCCAGACTAAGCTGGCAGAGGGTAAAGAAATTTAGAGTTTGGATTCCAGCTTCTTCATTCTCTGTCATTGGTTGTTTAGTTCATTTAATATTTCAGTCTGCAATAATCTAGTAAAGTCCACGTGATCCAGCCCTTACAAATAAAGTAAACTTCAGTTTTGATAATAATGAGCTGCATCTTAACCATACTAAAGATTTAAAAGAAAAATCTGGCTGCGTTTTAGTACTTATTGTATAGAGCAAACCATGGCCACCTCTTCTCCCAAAACAATCATAAATATAAGTGAGCCTTCAACTTGCTGTTGTATTCAATTTTATTTTGTCCTTTAAGTTTATCTAGCTGCTTCTGCACCCACTTTCACAATGCATAGGCTGTCGTTCCATGACCTAGCATTATTAAATTGCACTTATCAATCATTCTTGCCAGGAATGACATCTCCAATCACATTAAAGAAGTCAGAGAAGTCTGGTTTCAGCAGTCCCTCGCCTTCGCAGACCTCCTCCCTTGGAACGGCATTCACACAGCATCATCGACCTGTCATTACAGGACCCAGAGGTGAGGCCTTACCCAAGAGCCCCAATCAGCTTAAACTTTAGCCTCAGCACCCTGTATCAGAATGATTTTCTGTTGTCCGTAGCCACCAGAACGATTTTCCATTGACTGTATCCATCGAAACATGGTACACTTGAGAAAAGGTTTTTCTTGTTCAAAGTTAATAGGCTTATAGTTTGATAGGTTGTAGTTCTTAAGAATCATGCTTGGCTTTGTTACTTTATTTGTTCAAACATCTGATGATAGTTCAACATGTCCAGAGTCGTCTTTATAAGAAAATCACAGGATGTGGTACTTACTGCGTGTTCTTACTATCCGTGTTGAGATAGATTGGAGGTTTTGTTTCTGTGCTTGATATAGGGAATCTTCATTCAGCATCTAAATCACATTTATCTTTTCACAGTCCTGTTTCTTCCTCATGTGTCATTTTATATTCATATTATTGGAACTAGTGTGCTGAAGAACTACCCTTGTTAGTCGACTCCTTTGATGTTGCAGCTTGGTTTCTACAACAGTTTGGCTGGTTTTCTTCACAAAATTTACTGATTGATTTTTTTCAAAAAGAACAGATATTCTCTGGGTCTCCATGTGCTTACAAAGATATCTCTACATTAACCTAGAAAAATAAATATGAGACAGAATTCATATTAGAAAAGGAGTGCGTATGTGTGTTTAATAGTGTACAGAAATGAGTGGATCTTTTGGCTAATCTTTTTGAAGATATAAAAATGTGGATGAATAATCACTGCTCTTGGATTTTGCTTCTTTTAGAGTAGATAATTGTTGGCTATGTCAGTTGGTGAGATGGGGAAACTCAGACCTGGATGAAAGAAGGTCCACATTTTCTTTATAAAGTGTCCTTTTTAGACTTCCTATGGTCTTGTTTATATTCGTCCAAACCAGGAGTATCCCATTGTCTACATAGTATCAGTTGATGAAGCATAAATCAGTGGGATTTTACCAACCTAAAACTGAAAAAGGTTGAAATCAGGCTTAGTGTTTCTTTGAAGTTTAAGGAATTTAAAACACACTGGATGTATCACTTGTGTAAGGCTTTTTGCTCTTGGCTTTTATAAAAATGATCTTTTTTCCCCTGCAAAGACTAGGGTCAAGATCCTCAAAAGGTATTCACTACCTGAACTCTTAATTAGACACTTAAATGTGTTTGAGGATCTGGGCCTACGCTACCAGGCAAGCATACAATACCTTTAAAAAACCTTGATAATTGGTTATAATAACAGGCATGATATGAAAATTACAGTTTATTCAGCTGCAAATCAGTCAACTCTACCCCTACTTTGTAAAAAATCTTCTGCCCTTTACACCTGTTTTATTTGCTGGTTACCAAATCCCATTCAGTATGTAGTTACATTTTATCTTATACCCATATTATTTTATTTAAAATAATCCAGTTCATTAAACACCCTAACATGCCCTTATTTACACCTTGTGCATTTTTCATGTTATGTGGTTTAAGCTCAAATCTGTTGCTTTGCAAACCTTGTTTAAATTTAATCTAGAATCTCTTTTGTGACATTTGTTGTACAGTAAGTAGGGACATCCTGTCCGTTATGTGAGGAGGCTGTCTACAAGGATACAGAGAATTTGAAAGAGAAAATTATAATGATTTTCCTTCCTGTTATTCTTAAATGGGGGAATAAACCCTTATACTAACTCTGTCGAACAATGGTTTTCAACCTTTTCTAGACTCAAGGCAGCCTTCCATCACTTTTGTGAATTGAGCGGCACCCTATTTCAAAAACTAACCTATTTATTACAGTGCTTACCTTTTTGCAGTGGGTTCAGGCAGTGGGGGGCAGATCAATAGACTGGCAGGGATGAGCTTGTGCCTGCATTTATCTGCTTATTTCCTCATACCTGGCTTATCCTCTCCCACCTCCTGGCACTCTGCAAAGGATCTCATAGTGCCCTGGCATGCTGATTGAGAATCACTACTATAGAAAACTTTCATAGTTCCTAACGCATTACGCAAAAAACTGATTTTTTTTCAACGTCATCCAGACAAGTTTCATTCCACTTTGTTCACAAACAGTTTGGCAGTCTTTTCAAGAAGAATCCCACTCTAAATCTCTAAATTTTCTCCTAACCCTCTTAAGAATAACATCCATTAAGGGTCTTGTGCTAAGCTTTATTCCTCTGCAAATACACCTCATTCCCCAAATGTACAATAGAGAGAAAGGAAGCTTTACCGGCATAAACAGGAGAAACATAAGGAACAATACCATCCCTATATGAAATGAAATCATATTTCCCAGGCAGTGCTCATGTACGACTCTCTGTTGGAAGTTACAACTTTGCAGCAAGATAGTAAAAGATAGTAAATACATTGCACACTGCATATTTACCTTGCATGATGGGAATCTCAGCTTTCACATTACATTATGGTCAGCCGCATGCAATATTTTAAATGTGTTGTGGGAAGAGTATGGTGCAATGAGTACTCCCCATTCTGCTGAGAAGAATCTGGGAGAAAGGACTAATATGTAAGTAGGTCACAGCTAAAATAAACCTCTGAGCCAACCAAACAATCGTGCAGGGATCTATTCTCCTTTTGATGTGTGTGTGTGCAAACATTTCACATTAACGTGAATAAATTTTACTTGCGCAGTGAACAAAGTAGGTTACAAAGAAGAGGCTGTGGAGTATTTTAGTTATATGCCACTTAGCAGCCCATTGCTTTTAAGTTCTTCAACATATTCTTGCACCATTCCCAGGCTTCCAGCCATTCTTTGGACCCCTCCTAGAGCGTACTTCTTAGTCTGCAGACAAGCAAACACCAAGAAAGCCTTTCCCAACAGTCTGCAGAATGAAGCCTTCTGCGAACAAACAGCAGAGTGGAGGAGCAGATCCGTTACGGGATCTCTCTGTTCGGAGGTGTACCACAGGACTAAACAGCTGGAGAACCTCTGTTCCCATGATGAGGGATGCAGCAAACAGCTGTACTATGTTACTGAAGTCTGTTTACAGTGTCTTCATCTCTGTCAGTGCTGTTGCCCACGTTCAACTTAGCTATGCCATGGCCAGCTGAGAGGTTCTGCAGCCAGTTAACCAGAAGACCAGATAAGTGCTGGCCCAAGGATGCTTATAACTGATTAGTTCCAGCAGATGGTGGCAAGATTACCAAGATCGCTTGGTGCTAAGTAACCAAAGTGCTTCATGCATCCATATATGTTTAGGGCAGGTTTTCTGGAGATGACTCTTTGAATACACTGATATCTTCTCCAGACCAGTGTAGCTAAGGCTCAGACTAAAGCATCTGGTGGCATCATTTGTAGGCTTAATTTTAACATGACCATCAACTTAAATTCCATTTCAGAGCTTTGAAAATTCAGGCAGATAAGAGTTTTTAGACAATAAATTAATATTACGCAAGGGTGAGGCTGTTTGGTTGTCATCATCTTGTCTTATAGTGCTAACACATTGCAAAGCCATTGCATGTTGCTAGCATCCTTATTCATTATCTTCAACAGACAAGAATACTATGGGTGCCAGCAATATCTGGGCTTCAGTGGGTGAATCTACACGTTCGCTTTAATGTACAGTAGCCTATTTTACTGTGCATTAAAGCATCAGGTAAAAAAACATGCAATTATACTAATGCACATTAAACAGGCTATTGTGCAATAAATAGGCTGTTGTGTGTTAAGCCCCGTTTTAAAACCGTGTGCATTCGTTAGTGTGCATTAAGGCAGCCTAATGCACATTTGTTTAGTACATCACATTACAGAGTGCCTATACATGAACCAGGAGGCTGCTCCGACACTGTAATTACAGTGTATCAAAGCAGACTCGATTAATCAATTTGCAGACTTGATTAATTGTGTCTGCTGGAGCATAGTAATTACTGTGCTCCAGCTAGCCCATGTGTCTCATGTATTAGTGCCTGTGCGCTTCGAAACGGCGGCGGGGGCATTTTAACTAAAACTCATTTGATGAGCTTTAGATAAAACGCCTGTGCTGCCATCTTGAAACACAGGGACGCTGATACACAAAATGCTTCTGGCGCTTTAATTACAGTGGTACTCGGAGCTGCTTTAATTAAAGTGCCCCCCCCCACACACACACTCCTAGAGCATGTGTAAAATGCCCAGAAGTACTAAATTGAATGTGCAAAAGTGTCTTAATGCATGTGTAGATATGTCCAGTATGTTGCTATTTACACTTCCCTGCCAGGTCCATGTATAAAGTCACCAAAGTTAAACCAACCATGATAAAGTGATCTTAGATTATATAGCAGCCCATGTGTACCTCACCTCTGTACATCACACAGTATGACTTATAATTTCTTGCAACCAAGAAAAGGAAAGAAACAAAGAAAGGGAGGAAGAAAACCAGTGTTCAGAAATGAAGGGGAGACATATGTGCAAAGAACAAGACACATGGCAGATAGTGAGGAACCTGAAGAAATGGGTATGCAGGCAGAGGAGAGAAGGGCAGGAAAAAGACAGCTAGGGGAGTGACTGTCTTAATGTTGTTCCACTCACGTAACACAGCGTTTCTGCCGAGACTTGGAAGTGGGCTTCAAAACCCTTTCTGTTGGTGGCCCACTACACTACAACACACAGGGTTGCATCTACACAAGACTAATTTTGCTGCTCATTAGCACATCGTGGCAAAAGCCGTACTATTGTACTACTGCAAAGTAGAATTAGTCTACTGTACATTAGAGCCACTAAAAGGCATGTGCCTTTTATTATAGGCACTAAACTTAATGCGCAATACCTATGGCACATTAACGCACATGTAAACATGGCCACAGTGAATCAGTTTGTGAACATCTGGAAGCCCGCTTTAATGATGTGCAACCAAAAAAGAAGATTTTGAAAAGACACATTCCAGACAGGACTGCCTCCTACCCTTCCTAAGAGTGGACACCAGCAAATGAAAAAGGGTGACTATATCCAAACTAGATCTTTTGATGTAAGACATTGAAGGCAGCAAGCCAAACAGTTGTGCCACAACAGGCAGATGTCATATAGGCT